GATTTTCTATTTGCCATCATGTTTTCCTTACTTCAGTCTTGATTACAGAGTATTTTCCTGCAATACTGGTAGAAAAAATCTGCCAGAGGACTTCATTCTTAAGGTGACAGAAATGGCAGGACAGACCTCGATTATCACAATCTCAACAAGAAGTACATTACCTGCCTCTATTGTGGTATTTTCACCTTTGTAAATTAAACATCTTTTTCTTGAGAAATCACCAGAATTTTTAGAGAAGTAGCTTTATGCAAAAAACTTCAGATGACAAAAGACAAAGACAAGTCCTAGAACAATACAAATTACTCATTTTTTATATTCCTCAAAAGCTTTGCAACTTATACCAAGACTTGCATAAGTAACTGTAAGATGCAATTCTACTCAATAAGCTTATCACAGATTTCCACCACATGGCACACCAAATACTTGGTTCTGTAAGAGAACTTAAAGAAGGCTGTTATTTCAAACTGCTTGAAATAAACAACTCAAAGCTTATCTACTTCATCAGTCTTTGAGAAAGTAATACTGAATTATCTTTAGTATTTTTTCATCCATTTGTGCACAGATGATGCTATTTTTTCTGCTGTAACCTAAAGGGTCCTCTAAATACCGCAAAAGCAACAGAAGTCAGGCTCACATTTTCTAAGGATTAAGTTAAGCATTCACCAATCAACAGCTGTAATTCTGTGCAATACAGCCCAATTGACTTTAAGATTGGAACAGCCTAAAACACTAATTTTACTGAGCATCGTATTTCAGTGCTTCAGTATTCAGAGCGCATTTGCTTTTATGTGAAAACCATAAATCTAGAAATTAGCTTTATATGTACTGCCAAGATAGAAATCATAATTCCCATAGGGCACCACATTTAATGATATGAAGGCATTGTTGTGCTAGACACATTCAGTTGTGAAAGTCAAATCAAATCCTATGGAGCAGTTGAAATTCCTACTGGCTGCAGCAGAAGACTTTTGCTCACTACCTGTTAAATTTGAATTGGTTCCTCAGGTCTGCCACAGCTTTGACAAACACTCAGGGAAGAGCTGACTGGCACTGGAGCTTTTGAAGAGAGAAGTTTTCAATCAACTCAGGTAAACCTGCTAAGCAGAGGACACTATTGGGATATTAAAGGTTGAAAGAATGCATCATTTAGCACCTTCTGGTCATCTACAGGATGAGTTTTATACTTAGAATTCAAGAAATTGTCCACATCCAGGAACTGCAGACCTTGAAGCAAAGTCTCTAGCTTCCTGATCTGCTGGAAGAACATTTTGACTAACCACTTACTAAACAATCAAAACATAAGAAGTTAAAAATTAGCACTTCTATTCTAAAAGCAAAGGACTGATGCAACTATGAAAACATCAAAACCCTCATGCAGCTTTACAGCCAAGGAACAGCATCAGAATGGAACAAGGGAGATTCAGAGTGCAGTACAGGAAAGCCACTATGCTGGCTGAGATGTGGATGATGATATTTGTCTGCTTTCACCTACACAAACAACCTTAGAGCCCACACAATTAGGAGAAACACAGGGAACACTGAGAAACACACTGCTTCAGTTCCCTCCTCCTTCCTGCAGGTGCCTGCTTCACTGTTCACCTGCCTCCTGCCACAACATTCAGTTGTGCCTTCTCAACAGCTATCTGCTATCAGCCCAGATAAGCTGCAGGCAGCAGAAAGCTTGCCAGGGACAGGCCAAAATACACAAGTGAAGACAACTGAGCTGCAAATAGGAGCCAAGGACCTGTACCTGTCACTGTTTTGCCTCCGAGGCAGATGGAGAGGAGCCTTGGTGTAGTAGCTGAGCCTCACACAAGCATGCTAGCCTAAAGTAAGGCAGAGTCAGGACACAAGCCCAGATGTGTGAAGTAGACACCTCCAGCGGTACTGGCTCACCAGCAGCACCAAACGGAGCCAGGCAGATCAGTTCTCTCTCACAGAAAGCCTGCCACAGTAAGCAGATCCAAAGGTAACAACAGAGGATCAGCCAGATGAGCGCTGCAATGTTTTGTCCCTTCGGGAGAGAAGCAGATACGACTGTCTCTTCCAACACCTGTACGCAATTTGAGGGACTGGGACAGTGTAAAATCCACACAGACACAGAATTGCATTCAAAAAAAGAAAAACGGAAATCAAATGCAATAAAGGTAACCAGGAACCTCACCACTCCTCCTCCCCAAGCCTTTACCCATTTCCTTCTTTTAGCAGCACAACCCAACAATTTCCTCCTGCAATAGGAAGCTTAAGTTAACCAAGGGTTCAATTCCCCGTTAAGAATGTGGTCTATGACAAGATATTTGCAGTTTGGGGAAGTTTTGGAACAGCACAGATCACAGCACCCAGAGCTGGGGTCAGAAGCATATGTTATTGGCAGCACTGCACTCACTGGTCTTCACCAGTCATACAGACAAGTTCATCAAGTACAAAACTCTGAAATGCTGCAAAAGTTAACAGTGACAGTAACTGACGATCACAGATATTCCTTCTATTTAGGAAGAGACAGACCCATCATCCAGTCTAAGAGCTAATAGCATTTTAAGGGCAAAACACAACAACCAAAGCTTCAGGGTAGAATCTGTCTTGTTGAGAGAGGTGTGAGAAAGAGTCCTTGGCTGAAAACAGCACAGGCAGGCAGAGTCTCCCACCTCATGACTGCTGGTACAGGAGATACTCTAAGGACAAAAGAGGAACACAGCACTAATCTGGCTATTCAGCCCCGAACCTGCCTTTTGTAGAGGAAAATGATTAAATACCCTTGTTAGTCATGTACAAGTCTGGTTCTGTATGCAGTGCAGAACTTGTGAAGCACAACAATCTTCCATGGGAAACTCAGTGAAGTATCACTTGGCAGAAGCATAATCCAAGCTCAGAGGAGTGAAATACCTGGTCATCAGACATTAACTTTCCCACCTCTTCGCTTTACTCTGGGCAAGGAAGAGAAAAGCAGAAGCTGAAAAAGAAAGAACAGCCTAAATCCATTACTTTCAAGAACTTTTTCTGCCCCCCAAACAATAGAGTCAAGTTCTGCTGTCCTGGATGCCTTTCTTTTCTGCAAACAGCAACTGTCTATAAAGCTAAAAGAGCAAAACCTGCTCTAGACTGCAAGTTCACAAGTACTGCAAAACGACAAATAAAAGTGCTGTTGTCATCCACCTTTTCTTAAAAGAAGCCATTTTCAATGCCTCCAACTGCAGCCCAGAGAGAGCATACTTTCTGCATGCATTTTTCTTACCAGCTTTCACAGGTACTGCAGGTTGAATGTCACTGTTCTAAAGCCAGGTGCACTCTACCTAGCTCATTTTAGGCCATATGGCTAGGTTTTATAATTTCTTTGGAATAAACTCTGCAAGCTTAAGGATTCAGTATTTTATTCCACTGTCTTTTCTAAGTAGTCCAACACTTGTAGTTTTAATGCTATACCATCTTACAGCACCTGGATGATTTTTACATCAATTCAATTTTTAATGAGTAATAAAGACAGGGGTAGAACATTAACACTTTATCAAGCAAGAATGCATTTTTAAAATTGTCCTTAGGATGATCATTCTGAAACATTTCCTGGAGACATTCACCAATTCATAAGAAATCCAACATCATCGGTGCCCTTTTTGGTGTATTAAATTCTAGCTAAAATGTTGCAGAGTACTGGTACCTCTGAACTTTCAACACAAAGTCTTCTTTCTTAGTTTGTCCCAAGAGCAAGGAAAACAAGATGATGCAACAGAATGGTAACACCATTTTTGTTACATCTGCCAACTGCCACAACACAAGCCAGTTTATACCCTGCACTATGCCTTCACTTACCTGTATCAAGCTATAGCAGAGAAAAAAGAAAGAAAAAAAAAATAATAATAAAAAGTATTGCTAAGTTGCACTTCCCAAACTACCAGCTACTTATACATGCCTTCACCTGCATGGAAAGATGAATGCCAGTACATTCCAGAGAGCAAAGCATTAGGTAAAAACCCTGAAAATTTGAGATCCTGACTATTAAATAATAAAGAAACAAACATTTTCACCACATTTCATTTCAGAGGAAAGTTGGCAGGGAGTTAGACTCATCCCTGACTGCTGACTTACCCAGATATTACAGCACATGTGAGTGCTGGGAAACCCAAAGCAAAACTTACTTATTAAATACTTTCTTTCCCCTTATATTAACAAATCCCAAAGAGACGTGTCTTGGAAAAAAAGCAGAAAAAATAAAGAAAGAAAAATGAAAGAGAAACAAAAAAGAGGAAATGCAAACATGCAGCAGCAGAGGACAGAATGTACAGTCAGACCTCCATTTAGGCAGCATCCTACATGGAAGTAACTGAAAAAGATGCTCCAACAAAGGAGCTGTCCTAGCAGAAAATAACTGCAGCAACAATAACAGAGGCAACTGCGTACCTCAGGAGAGTAAGAGGAGTGGTATCAGTCACTGTGGTACAGGTAGGAACACCTGGGCAGTCCCTGATAGCATCCCAAGTCATCGCTACCACAAAGGCAGCACTGGGTGCTACACCAGCGTTCACTTTGCTGCTCCATGAAGTACATCCACAAACTTATTTCCCGCATAGGTGTGATAAAAAGACAAGCCCCTCGAGCATTCTCACTGCACACCTTACACAGAGTGATGCTTTGCTCCACGAAGGGCTCGCAGGGGCCTGGTTAGCCGCCACAGCCAAAAGAACTCCACTGTAACAGCTTGCGCGGAATGCAAAAAGTTGCCTTACGCGGCAGCTTCCACATCCACCCTGAATCCGCCTCAGGTGCTCTAAGCACCCCTAATAGTGCCCGACTCAAGCCGCCCGTGCTCTCCACGTCCCGCAAGGCAAGTGAACACCCCACCTCACCCACCCTCCTCACCGGGCAGAAAAGCGACCGGCTCCCAACTCCTGGGGCACTCATCCCAACTCTCCCCACCTCACCCAGCTTCCTGAGCTCTCATTTGCCCACGCGGAGGGACGAGGCAGGAGGACACGCGTGGGGCTCCGCGGCTGGGGGCACGCACTCACCTGGGGGCAGCTGGAAGTTGGCCGGCAGCTGGATGGTGGCGGTGGGCGGCCCCTTGGGTACCACCAGCGGCCGCGGGCCCCCCGCAGCAGCCGCACGCATCGCCGGTGGCCCCGCGGAGGGAGCGGAGGGCGCCGGGCAGCCGGACACCTTGGCGGCGGGGCTGCCGCACGCGGGAGCCGGGCCCCCGGCGGGAGAGCCGGCGGGCGGCTGCTCCGGGTGCCCGCCGGGCATCAGCCTGACGGGGGCCGCCGCTGCCGCCGGGGCGCTCATGGAGAAGGAGAAGGCGAGGGGGGCGGCCGGGTCGCGTAGGGCCCCGCGCCGCCCCGCAGCATCGCTCAGCGATCAGGCGCTGCCCCGTCCGGCGGCACGCCGCCCAGCACACATGGTCACCCCGCTGCCTACTGCTCAGCGGCCCCACGTGGGCTCGGCCTCCCCCGCCGGCGGGAGGGAGAGAGGGCGGGCGGAGGGCGGGCCCGGATCGCCGGCTCGTCCTACTGCGGCGGCGCCCAGCCCAGCCCTGCCCCGAGCCTCTCAGGGCCCACGCCCGGCCGCCGCCCGCCGTGTTTATAGCGCCATGCGGAGGACGCGCAGGCGCTGAGGCTCCGCGCCGGGCCGGGCCGCGTCACGGGGCGGGGCTGCAGGCATCCCGTGGCGCTGCGGGGGTTTGGGGTGCGTGGCTGCCCTTGGGAAACAATCGCGGCCTTTAATGGCGCTTCCCGTCACACGCTGAAAGTTGTTGCAAAAAGGCAGCTGGCGGGTCGTGCTGCTCTGTTAGGGATGTCGGCGTGACCTTCAGCTATTTTACGGCTGTGTATCGCTGGGTTCTGAAGCGTGCTTATGCCCATAAAGCTGAAGGAGCTCTGCTCACCTGCTCAAGGTGAGTGCAGCAGGAGTCAGGGCTTGGTGTGTAGTACAAAAAGCACAACGTGCAGCAAAGAGCAAGAAAAGCAAAAAAAAAAAAAAAAAAAAAAAAAAAAAAAAGGAAGTTTCATTTCAACTCATGTTACCCATGTAAAATGTGAATGCAAAAAAAAAAAAAACCAACAAAAAACTGCCCTCTGTGCCCTGAGAGATGGCTTGCTGTACTGCTGCTCACAGTTCATCCCACTGCAGGAGGAAGACAAACACTCCCTAATCATTTCCACTTACAACTTTGTTTAATTTCAGTGTTACTGCTTTAAAACGCTGTCAGCAGTTGCTGAAACAGAACAGGGCACTTCAGAGCGCTCAGAACTGCAAGCACGTGGTCACAGCTTCACGTCTAACAAGGTCAAGCCATACTCTCCCAAACTGCTACAAGCAGCAGCAGCAGCACAAAGACACACCACAGAGCCTGGCTGAAAAAATGCCTTCATATTCACACACCTCAAAAGCTCACCCTACCCTACCTGCTAGTTACACTGCTAGCTGTAGCAGATTGCAGAAAAGGCTACTATCCTAAAATTTGCAACATACTAGGTCAGACAAGGTGCCAGAGATACATATTCCTACCTTTCCTACCTACTATTTGGGATCTAAGCACAGCACTTGCTCTCTTGCACAGCACCTCCTTGCCCTCATCGCCACAGCTCCCATTCCTCCAGCCTCAGTCGTTCTCCTGCTCATCCAGAAGAAACTCAGACCAAAATCCCACAGAGGGAGCAGCAACAGAGCAGCTTCTGGAGAAGAGGAAGCTCAGGAAGACCTTATTGCTCTCTACAGCTGCCTGAAATTAGGTTGTAGCAAAGTGGGGGTCAGCTTCATCTCCCAGGTAACAGCAATAGAACAATAGGTAATGTCATTAAAGTGTGGATCCAGGAAAGGTTCAGGTTAAATATTCAGAAAAAAATCTTCTCAGAAGAGCTGTATGGTATTGAAACAGGCTACCCAGGTTGGTGGTGAAGTCACTGTCCCTGGAAGTGTTCAAGAACAGGATAGAAAATGGTGCTGAGGGACATAGTTAGTGGGCAAGGTTGTAATGGGTTAATGGTTGGACTAGATGATCTTGGTGGTCTTTTCCAACCTTAATGATTCTATGAATGGTTACAGTTTCAAAGCAAAAGAGTGGATGAAAAGGACTCTGGAAGAGGAGGCTATGGAGTACATCAGGGAGGAGGCAGTCTCCATACCTCTTACAGATCTTCCAAGTCTGAGCAAATTAAATCACAATTACTTATGTGTATGAGCCTATGTTCCATGCCTAAGGTAACAACCAGGGCATGAGTTACCTCCCACGCACTGAAGGATGTTCCGAGAAGATGGAGAAATTTCTGTTTCAGCAATCAAAACCAGTAATGACTAGTGACAGAAGGAATACGATGCACTGAAAGGCATGCTGTGCACAAAACAAGTTCTACTCCGCTGGAACTTCAGGGAAGAATGGAGTAGGCTCATTAGTTAAGTCCAAGCTTTCTTATCTTGGGGCCATTCATCTTCTGAAGGAATCCCTGAGACCACTACAAGAGTGCTCAGGAGTGAAATCATACCTAGGTGAGACCAAAAGAAAAAGCTGAAGTCAAAGAACGTGCATGAAAGCTGGTTGAACCACATTGTGAAGATAGCAAGCAGAAAGTATGGCATAGTGAGAGAAGACATCCCAACTCTGCAACAGGAACAAAGTAACATGAAAGACAACAAAGGAAAAGGTATAAGACAGTGATAATAAAAAGGGAAACTCCTCTGAACAGAGTAGAGAGGATCTAGAAATATTACAAGGGCTGCTCCAAAAGTAATGCCTCCTGTTTTATGATGTTAGCCTATGATGTCAGAGGCAGATGGCAGTGGTATGGCAGTACAAGCTGAGCCTTCACACCAATATTCCATCACATTTTGTTGCCAGGTCACAGACAGCAGCAGAGGAGCAGTCTGACAAAACAGCATCTGGCATGGAAGTGCATAGGAAGCAAAGCTGTGTTACTGACTTCCTCTATGTAGAAAAATTGCACCCACTGACATTCACTGACGCTTGCTGAATGTTTATGGAGATCAACCAGTGGATGTGAGCACAGTGAAGAGTGGATGGTGTAATTCAGCAGGAGTGAGAGCAACAGTCGGTCACCTCTGCTGGTGTCGATTTTTGCAAGCATGGCATGCAAGCTGTTGTTTATCACTGGCAAAAACACATAGCTAATGGTGGTGACTGTGTTGAAAAACAGTGTTTTGTAGCTAAGAATTTGCTTTGTCCAACAGAGGGGCAACTGTCCAACAGTGTTATTATGCTCTTTGTATCTGCTATATGAAAATAAATAAGAGGCATTACACACATCTCTTAAAAATAATGATAAAATAATACTGGGCTATGTTGAAGTACCATAAGCGTCCTCTCCAAACAAAGCAGATGCATCAATTACTCTGTGAAACTGTACAAGAAGTAAAAGGAAGAGTGCTTTCTCCACAGTGGAAAAATGTATTATGATAAAGGACTGAATACCACAAAATTCCTGTCCAGACAAGCATGCTTTAACACTTCAAACAATAGACTTCTATAAACTCCTTAAACTAGAAGGCAGTTTGACATCAAATACCTTGTTATAGTTTCCTACAACACTATAAAAAACATCTAACGTGCTTCAGTGTTTTAATCTGTCAGTAATCCTCTTCACAAAAGTTGTATTTTTTCTCTGATTGATAAATCATCAATTATGTACAAGCAGTGAATTAGCTGGAATAAGAAACTTTTAATATTTACCTTAAACCTTTCTTAAATGACAGACCTGGAAGCACTATGGAATTAAATTAAGCATGTAAATGCAAAACGAGGGAAAGAAATACTTGTGACCATTTAATCTCGTTTGTTAAATTAGATGATTTTAATTGAAGAAATGAAAAGGTCACATCTAGATTTACCATGAAACATGTTTGATATTAACAAAGAAGATGAGCTCTTCACGAAAAGATGCTGAAAGAAGTGAGATACTGAAGATAAGACTAATAAGAATCAGAGGAGAGAAAATTTCACACCAAATAAAAAAAGGAAAGAGTGAGAATGACTTAGCTGGAAATTACTGAGTAGAAGATAGGACCAAAAAGGTTAAGTAATGGGATAAGTTTTGCAAATGTTAACTTATTTACTAATGAAAATGGCCAAGCAAAACTATGACAGGATGTTTAATATCCTCAAATAACCATGACTTTACATTATGTTAGCAATTTCAGTAGATTTGTTCAAATTTATAGTCGATGTCACAGTCTGCCCTATTTTTTTCTTGACTGATGATCTTTTATGGTGATGTCTTTTTCTTTTTCTTTTTGAACCTTCAGATGCCAAAGCAAATACTGCACTTACATAAGTCAAACTCTTTGTTCCATGAGGTACAGCGCACTACAGCTTTAAACCTCATGAAACATTCAAAAGTACAGTAGGAAGGTAGAATAAAAGAATCAGGCATATACTTGTCTATTGTTCTAAGCTGTAATGTTTGCTTGACTATACTGAGTTAGTAACAGCAAGTGAGCTTACTGAACACTGAGCTTAGGCACAAGAGAAGCCATACGAAGCAGAAGTTTTACCTGCAAGTGCATTGTCTGTTCTGGGGAACCAAAGCAGCATCATAAACCACAAGACATGATCTGATGAGGTTGAATGATCAGGTGCATATGCAGCTCACAAGCTAGGTTTTAAAGCAAATAACATTTTAAGAATTACATAGCTGTATTACAAGGTCATAAAGGATACCACTTGTTTTCCAGAGGAATTCACTGAGGGAACGTGGTTTTCATCAGCTCCTGGAAAACATGTTAATAAATTTTTGCGGCAAATGACATGTGCAAGAAAAAAAAAGAATAGGCAGGCCTCTCAACAGTGCAGGGTGAACAAGCATATCAGGATTAGCATTACTACAGCTCCCCTAGGTTTCAAGAAATATACAGAGCTCAGCTTAGGAAGAAGCCAGTTCATTCAGCAACTAAATGCACTGCAGACAGTTACTGCCTGTTAAAATTTCAAAAACTTTATAACAGCCATCACAGCTGTTCTGGGACACAGGTATTTTTCTTCCTTTTCAGATTCCTTCCCCCTCTATTTCTGAAACTTTTATTTCAACATCTTTTACACTAAAAAATAGGAATAAGACAAATCATCATCATCATCATCATCATCACAATTTCCATATGCAGTGCTGTAATCTATTTATTCATTTATGTTCTGTAGCAAAAACAGTGCTGCTAAATATCTGTGAAGCATTTCAAAATGATGCCAACCATCAGAATAAGATTTTCTTGATTTTATACGAGAATCAGATGATAGTAAATTAAGATACTGCCTGCAACCAACAGAAGAGTTACCAGAGAGA